GGGGCCCGGGAGACACAAGCAAGGCAGCACGGGGAAGGGGGCGACCGGCCACGAGGGCGGAGGCGGAGAAAGAGGCCGGGCGGATGGGCGCACCCTCTTGGTGTGGCTTGATGTAGCGCTGGAGGAAGGAGTAGAAATTCAGCAGCAGCAGCTGGTGCACACCCACCAGGCGCGAGATCAGGTTGAAGATGAGCAGGCGCAGCGAGAAGATGGCATTGCTGGACCGGACCTTGGCCAGGAGCTTCTCGGCGAAGCCTTTTCGTCGCCGGCAGGCGCGCATGCGCACGCGTACATGGGATGTAAGTAGGCGCGGAGAAAAGGGGGAACAGGGGGGGAGAGAGAGAGAGAGAGAGCAGCGAGAGCCGATGGCGGCGAGCGCACCCTGCGGGTCATTGATCAGGTGGAAGGCCGAGAAGTTGAAGGTCTCCGCGCGGTTCTTCCGGCGGTTGCGCTTCAGCATGGTGGCCTTGGCGCGCTTCAGCTGCGTGGCCTTCTTCTTGGTCTTCTTGGTCACACGGTTGCGGAACTGGACCGCGCGCAGGTCGATCTGCACGGCGCCGGCCGAACGAAGAGCGTGTCGAGGGGGGAGACAAAGTGCGCGTCAGCGGCCGCGGGTTGAGTGGGGGCTCCGCGAGCCGGGTGGGCGAGGCAAAAGAGGACCGGCCGGCGAGATGGCCACCACACGTACGACGTCCTCATCATCGTCATCCTCCTTCTCGGGCTCCTCGTCGCTGGAGAGGAAGAAGTGCAGGGCGATGGTGGCCACCTTCGGCCGGCTGGACAGGCAGGCGTTGGCGATGATGTTGACGGTCTTCTCGTCGTTCCACACATTCTTCTTGTACAGGGCGATCATGATCTCCAGGGACTTGGTGGCCGCGGTGTCATCGCGGTCCTCGATCATGGTGTACATGTAATTCTGCAGGACGCGGTTCAGCTGGTTGTTCCGGCGCTGGTCGTTCTGCTGGCGGATGTCCGTGACGATGTGCGTGAAGAGCTGGCGTGTGTTGTGGAGGCCGGCGGCCGGTCAGCATGGTGCGAGGGCGGGCGGCGGGCGGGCAGGGGGGGGGGGGGGGGGGGGGGGGGGGGGCCGGGGGCCGGGGGGGGGGGGGGGGGGGGGGGGGGGGGCGGGGGGGGGGGGGGGGGGGGGGGGGGGGGGGGGGGGGGGGGGGGTGCAATGCATGAGGGTGTAAAGAAGAAGCAGTGCCCGACGCACCCACATGGCAGCAGCAGGAGTGACCGCGCAGAAGAGACCCACGGCATGAACCAAATTCGGGAAGTAGTAGGACGAGGCCGGGAGGAGCCGGCAAAAAGCCGCCACACGAACCAAAATCTTATCCTCGGTGTCCACACGCATGAAGGAAGAGTCGGACATGTCCA